GTTTACAAGGATGGGAATTGTGACGGAAACGGAACTGGATTTTCAAGGTTTGGGCATTGCGACGGAAACGGAACTGGATTTACAAGAATGGGAATTGTGACGGAAAAGGAACTGGGTTTACAAGGATCGGAATTGTGACAGAAGCGGAACTGGGTTTACAAGGATGGAATTGTGACGGAAACGGAACTGGGTTTACAAAGATGGGAATTGTGACGGCAGCGGAACTGGGTTTACAAGGATGGGAATTGTGACGGGAACGGAACTGGGTTTACAAGAATTGGAATTTTGACGGAAACGGAACTGGATTTACAAGGATGGGAATTGTGACGGAAGCGGAACTGGATTTACAAGCATGGGAATTGTGACGGAAACAGAACTGGGTTTACAAGGTTGGGAACTGTGACGAAAACGGAACTTGGTTCACATGGCTTGTGTATTGCGACGGAAACGAAACAACAAAGTTTAAGGCATTGCAAAGGAAACGGAACCGGATTTATAAATTTTGGACATTGTGGTGGAAATGGAATTGGATTTACAAAGTTTAAAGCATTGCGACGAAAACGACTGGATTTACCTGCAACTGGGCCACTTTCTCACCCTACAGTATAAATACCCTACAGCATGTGTAAAGTACAGTAAAAATTAATCATACATTGGAATAGTGATCTTGTACAACCCCACATGAATCGGAGGAAATAAACCTTGTTATAAACGATATTAAATATAGATGTACACGTTACAGCGTCTCTATCAAGTACTTCACTAGATATTGAGAGGATAGTTTTGCTCTTAACTGGTCCTTCAAGTACTTGACGACGCGTCGTGCAGATGTCGTTACACCAAGAACGGCCTCCAAGGACACATTGGTGGACGACTATCGACTGTAGGTGATTGTAATCGCCCGTGCTTCACATAACCGAGGGGTTGGTTTGTTGTTTAACGCCGCACTCAGCTACATGACGGCGGTCTGTAAATAATCTGCACCAGACAATCCAGTGATTAATATCATGAACATCGATCCACGCAATTGGGATACGATGACATGGGTTGCTGAAGACCGAAACAAAGGATATGTATTACATATACGAAACAAAGGATATGTAATGAATAAACACATAAAAAAGAGCAATTGCACTTTAATATTTACATAAACACACATATTTGTATATGAATGACATATTGTGTTGATAAATTGTCACCTGTCATGCAAAGTGTCATAATTGGTTTTCTATAAATGAAAGCTTCCATAATTTGCACCCATAAACCGAGAGGCTAAGAAAGTATACCGTGTTTTGTTTTTATGTAATTGAAAATCGAAAGAACTGTTGTTAAATCTCATTGTGTCTACTTAACCATCACTCATTCCTGCAACAGTTTGTAATCATGTGGAGGGTGAATTTGGTGTAAAAATATCTTGGTTCAATGAAGATTGGGGTAAGAAATGAATTTGCAACCACATGACGCCTACAAAGAATGAATTGTTGCAAATTGGTGCCGAAAAAAACCCAAATATATATATTTTCAAAGATAAGATGTCTAAGATGCCGACCAACAGTTCTGCATTATGCGAAAGATTTTTTTTTAATTTTAAAAGTTTTAAATACAATTACACATCTAAAGAAATAAAACCATGTAGTGGTATTCTTTAAGTGCTGACTAAGTGCCAGTACAGTTCATTTTGTGCTCCTCAATTTAATCTTATATCCAGTCCTAGTGTACAATTTGAAATTTGTCGGTTTAAAACACAAACTGTGAAGATGATCTAAATACCGGGCGGGCTGTGGAACAAAAGTGTGTTCTTTTGGCGGCGGAAAACACACACACTCTTTCCACCTTTACATCATTTGATTTATATCACAAATATAAAATAAAATTACATATATTTAAACGAGATTATTTTTTTCTCTCTCTCTCTCTCTATATTGATTAAAATATCACAAATATAAAATGAAATTTCATATATTTAAATGAGATTAATTTTCTCTCTCTCTCTCTCTCTCTCTCTCTCTCTCTCTCTCTATTGATTATCTCTCTCGATCGAGTTCATCCCAGACGTATTCGATTGGGTTGAGATCTGGAAATCTCGACGGCCAGGGCAAGCCGTTGATGTTGGCATCATAATGGTAGTCTACCGTGACACGAGCTGTGTGCGGTGTAGCGTTGTCCTGTTGAAACAGCTCCTTCTGGTGGTCAATGATTGGAAGAAAGTGGGGTTGAAGAATTTGATTCATGTTGCGATCTGCTGTCAAATTTCCCTGAACCACAACCAAGTCAGATCTCGTGGTGTAGGATATGGCCCCTCACACCATGACACCACCTCCACCGAAATTGTCGAATTCACATACACAATGTAGGGCGAAACGCTCATTTCGACTACGATAAACACGTTGTCTTCCATCTCGCCGGTGAAGAAGGATTCATGATTCGTGATTCATCGCTAAAACATACTCATCTCCAGTTTCTCAAATTCCAAGGCTGTAAGCCATGGCACCAACGCAAGCGTCGCTGTCAATGGATCTGTTGCAAAACAGAGACGATACCTAGTCTTCTGGGTCGGATTCCAGCCTCGCGAAGATGGTTCCTGACAGTCTCTGGCAGTGGAATTGAACTGTTTGTATCGGTCCCAAAGGCGGCAAATGGTGTTGTGGTGGACGTTGAAGTGACGTGCAACAGAAGACTGCGACTCCCCTCTTTGGATACCTCCTTCGGCCTATAGCGTATACTTGCCTTTTTATAGCCACTACCACGAGTACCGAATGCCATAACTTGCACGTGCATTTTGCTTTATTGTTTTCCTCCATAACATTTTTGAACATTTGTGAAAACAATGCCGTTTAAGACATTGCAAATCGACAATGACTGCGTTTTGACGCACCGTGTGTCGAATATTATTTTCGAACATTTTCCAATAACATATATCCAGTTTATATACCGGACTTTTTGTGTAGTCAGGTTCAATGAACTACATACTACCTGTGCGTTTCTTTTTTTGAAGAGAGTATCTGTAAATCAATTAATAAAAAAAGACGTTACAAACATAACGCGCCGATGATGACAAGGGCATCCAACAGTTGGATCAACATCAACACCGAACCTTGTGTCTCGAATGGATGGTCACACCCCGCCGTGTCACGGGATCACCCCTCTGCTGTAAGTAGAGACACTGCATTTCTCTCAGCCACTCCCCCCACCCACCCCCACTCCACCCCCCCACCCCACCTCCCCAACCCCCACCCCCCAGACCCCTCTCCCACCCCACCCCCCACCCCCACCCCACCCCATCCCACCCCACCCCTCTTATGTAGTGTGAAGTCGTGAGTGAGGGAGGAGAAGAGGTAGTACATGTTAATCTACATATCTTTGGTGGCTCTTGTCTGGACTAGTCTGAATTTGTCTACATGTTACGCCAACTGTAGGCAATGTTTAAGGCGTGACCCTGCATTTTTAGGCTTGTTGACATGTGGTATATCTGCCAAACTATACTGTGAGCTATGTTTCAAAAACTAGGCAATAACAAACGGATAACTTGTTTATCAGGTTAACTGAGAACAATTAATGTAAATATATATGTATCATTGGTTATGGATTATAATAGATCACCCAACAGATTGTTACTCATTTGGTGGAGACATAGGTAAGGTGAGGTGAAAAGGGGTTTAACGTCGCGTCCAAGATTATTGCACTTATGTAGCGACGTGCCGATTTTTAGTGCGAGCCCACTGAGATGCCATGCCGCAGTTTAACATGAATACCACACTCAGACACAGTATACTGACTCCGAGCCAACCGGTCCTTGTTTTAGGCCCTTAATGCCGAGCGCCAGACAGGGTAACAACAAATAACATATTTTGGTATGACGCGGCCGGGCGGACGCTCTTCCACTAGACCACGGAGGCGGTCAGTGTAGGTATAGACGTTGTTAGTAGTGATGAGTGAACTTGAGACATTTTCTCCATGTGAGTGAGTGAGTGAGTGAGTGAGTGAGTGAGTGAGTGAGTGAGTGAGTATGTTTGAACTTCAGACATTTTCTCTTAATGAGTGACTCTTAGATATATTCCAGCAAAACCACGGCGAGGGACTTCAGAAATGGACCCATGTTCAGAAACGAACCCGGGCCTTCTACGGTTCTTTTGAACCACTAACCTATCACACCGCCCCTTTCGCTGTGTAATTAGGGTAAACGTTAACATTATATTTACGCCCTTCATAGAGTTACCAGAAGAACAAGGAATGCCAAGTTCCTTGCGCCAAGTGCCCCTTTAAAGCTTAATGTGAGTTTCACCTGTTGTTGCACTCCATGCTGGCTTTGGAAGATAGAGTGAGTGAGTTTGTTTTTAGCGCCGCTTCAAACAGTATTACATTACATCATGACGTGACATCTTAATGTCAGAAGCAGAAAACTAGGCGTTTACGTTTAGTGAGTTAGTATGGTTTTACGCCGCGTAAATGCAATACTCCAACAATATAACGACGGGGGACACCAGAAATGGGCTTCACACATTGTAACCATGTGTGGAACTGAACTCGGGTCTTCGGCTTGACGAGTGATCGCTTTAACCACTAGGCTACCCCGCCGCCCCTCAAGGATCATAACGGTAACACATAGGATTCGACCCATAGCAGGTTCTTGCAGATGAAATATGGATAAAAATGACACAGAGAGGAAGATGTATTGGATTTTTATTACTTCAACAAAAGGTTTTCTGTAAGAATTTTAATTTCATTGTTTATACGTTCAGGTATGAATGTATGTCGATAAGGCACGAAATCAACTGCAGTATTTAACAACACATTGCTTGACAAAAAACACATGAAGAAAAACTGTGCCAACGACATGTTTCCCCAGCCGATACAATATTCACCTAGCTGTATTCAATACAGAGTCAATATCTGCTTAAACAAGTGAGAACACAGGAGCTGGGGGATCTCCCTGCTGTACACCACACCTGATATTTGCGTCTGACCCGAGCAACGCTTCAGTGATCCTCTTTGCTACTGAATATTCATGAGACGGCAAAGAATGGCTGGCAGGTAGGTCAGAGCCAGTCTAGGAAGAGAGAGGTTTGAAGTTTACTTCTTGAAGACGGACAGCCGAAATGGACGTGGAAAATACGTCACGTCTCCATTATGGGGACATTTTGGTGATCGTCGCTTACTTCGTCATTGTTATTGGAGTCGGAATTCTCGTAAGTAGCGTCTTCTTCTCACCTGTAATTATTTAGAGCTTGTTTACCTGTGCAGTGAACGAGCTGGTGTCGGTCTATGCGGATGACTAGCGTACAGGTTACCTTCATTGTTAAGCATACAGAACATTAACAGTTATTCAGGTTGCAATTACATGTATTTTGACAAGGAGGGCGTATTAATACCACAACCCTCCCCTCCGTGAGCATTTTATTTATTTCAAACGTCATTTTTAGTATCATATATAGATACCCAAATGTGTTAAGGTGGATTGTTACTATACTTTCACTTATAACAACCAGTGCCTCTCGTGTGATGTATTTCACCGTCATGTCGTGAAATACTTGATGAACTGGCCACAACACTAAGCGTTCCGATGATCAGCCAAGCATTACGTGCGCTCCTACAATGTCTTGTTCCCCAACTGGTTTTTCACCGATCTGCTCAGTCAAGCCCCACCCCACCCAAACCATGCATTCGCACCCTCCGACACCCCCACCCCTTCAATGCTCCTAAAGACCAACCATCCCGTTGACTCCACCCTACTAAGAGACTAAACAGGGTCTCATTGACTATATATAGTTTTATTGTGCAAAGGTATGTTCAAGGTATGTCGTTGTGTAAATTCTAAACCTATAGTGCGCGTTAAGTCTTGTTCGGCAACATTGCGACTACCTTGCAAAGTGCGCTACACTCCCAGCCAAGTATCCAAGTGCAGTTGGGGAGCGAGACCTCTAGTGATGTATTTGAAATATATGCTGTCGGAAGTTAAGCTGAGCTATTTCGTATTTCAAGCATCGTCATGGTCTTGTGAAGACAATAACACTCCTTTTCTACGCAAATTCCCAACAATGACATCATATCTGTGTGTTGATTTACGTGCTCAGTGTAAACGCACACACACTGCAGTATGCTGTTTTAATCAACCCGTCTACTAGCTCGTAAATAATGGCGACATGTAGGATCAGATCTACCAACGGATGTTCTATTTTTGAACGCGTGCGTGCAGAATTTCTGTCTGACATTGTAATAAATAAGGTTTTAATCAGGGTTGAGGTGTAAATTGTAAGACGTGTGTTATTATCCAAACGTATTTAGGTGATTGCTCAACAAATAATAATAATAACAATAACAACAACAACAACAACAATAATAATAATGATAATGATAATAATAGGCTGCAGTGTTGGGGAGTCTTCACATTCCCCGAAAAGTTCTGGGTGGGTTTGACTAGGCAGCGCTTCCTGGGAGAAGTCCCTAGGGCCATGAGCTAATGATGAGCCTAACCAGACTGACTGTGCCAGGATCACCCAAACCCTCTTTGCTGCATTTTAAAATTTTAATCGGTACACAATAATAATAATAATAATAATAATAATAAGAACGACGACGATGATGATGATGATGATGATGATTATAATTTTAAAAACAAAAATGTTAAATAAATAAAAGATATCGTACTTGTAGTTTTCCTGTACTATAATGATCCTGTCTCAGACACATTTACAAGCAAAGTTGTATGTGTCGCCTCGGTGACCTCTTGACCCCGTTGACTGAAGGTGACAGAGAGGATCAATTGAGGCTTCCTACTGTATCATATAGTTGTCAGATGTTGGCGGATATGGTAGTGCGGTAGCCTAGACTGACGAACAGGGTTCGATTCCCCGCGTGCCCACGTTATTATAGTTCGCCCCACGTGCCCACATTATTATAGTTCGCCCTACGTGCCCACATTATTATAGTTCGCCCCGCGTGCCCACATTATTATAGTTCGCCCCGCGTGCCCACATTATTATAGTTCGCCCCGCGTGCCCACGTTATTATAGTTCGCCCCGCGTGCCCACATTATTATAGTTCGCCCCGCGTGCCCACATTATTATAGTTCGCCCCGCGTGCCCACATTATTATAGTTCGTTAGTGCAAATTCTTAAACACGTCACTTCCGGTTGTTCTTTTATTTCTCCTATATAATGAATACGCCTAATATATGCTGACACTTATCAGTGTGTTTCCTTTGCCTTTTTATATTTTGGAATTCATCTGGACAAAACGTTCTTGTTGTATTTGCTTTAAAAATAAAGTTGATACATCGATATAAGTTTACACTTGACAATGAAAATATATAAAAAAAATTGCATGTCACGACTGTTCATCTCGAATTTCTTTACGACAGCATGCAGTTTGTAGAGTATGTACATGCATATATTGTGAGGCTTGGAATAAATAACCCAATCTCTCTCGCATACCAAGTGTTCATCGATATACTGATGATGTGCAACCTACCAAACACGTTTAAGAACAGCAACCCATTGAACGCACATTAAGAACCCGGGACAGATGGTACGCATGCTTCATGCATTCGAGGGCTGGTCAAAAAGTTCTAAGTCTAACAAACAAAACCAACAATTGTGAAAGTGTAATTCTATTTTTTTAAATAATCTCCCTTCTTTTCAAAACACTTCTCATATCGATAGTGAAGCTTTTCAATTTCAGTCAGGAAAATGTTTTCTGAAGCTACCCTGAAAAACCCATTCACGGCAGCGCTGAGGTCATCGTTGTCGTCATAGCGCCTTCCACGAAGGTGTTTTTTTCAGTTTAGGAAACGGGTGGAAATCACTTGGTGCCAGGTCATGACTTCCTGGGGAGTACTTTTCTCTAAAGACAAAAACTTGACTGTTCGGTAATCGTTCTGTTCCATTCCTGTGTCCATTTGGACCCTATCACGTTCAACTGGCTGTCACTAATATACAAACGGCCTCAGAGGACCAAATACACTTGCAATGAACTACACAAACAATGTAATACATATACAATGACCAGTTCACTTTGTTATGGCCCATAGTTGAACGTTAGTCAGGCTTAGAACTTTTTGACCAGCCCTCGAATCTAGCCGCCCCTGTGCTGTGTCTTGAAGACAGGCTGCCTCGTTTACTGCATTACAAAAGGATATACAGTAAACTACGGTTATAACGAACTCAAAGGGACTACTAATTTTAGTTCGTTATATCCGTCAGTTCGTTATAAGCGTGTTCGTTATAACCGTAGTTTACTGTATGTAAATAGTGTAAGGCACTCATATTCATCAGTCTGTTCATGACTTTCAACAATGTTGTTTTCCAGTCAAAGTCGAATGAGAAGAGAGTTACTTTACAGAAATCTTCGCATGAATCATTATGTGTTTGATGTAATCTGTACACAACTTCTTTATGTAATGTGTAGACATTTTTTTTACTCCTTGAAACCCCGGGAAAATACTGTCCGCCCAGCTCTGAATGTTCGCGTGGTATTGCTGTATACTAGTTACCGTCAACAAAACTGCTTCCCATTTGTTTGGAGTTGGCAAATCAACAGATATATTAATTAGATTATTCTCTGGCTTTGGAATAAGCGTTCACTTTACAACATATGCATACAGTGCAAATCTGCACCTGTGTAAATTTACATTTGCACCTGCTCCAGACATGGTGTAAATTTGCTCGTTTAAATATACACACATGAGCAAACGCGTTCACATGACAAGTATACACACGTATTATTTTAACACAATTATGCAAATATATACACATATGTATATAGGTGCATGTGAAGGGGATGTTTAACAGATATCGAAGCGTTTGAATCAGTAAATTTCGGTCTCTAATCACAAAAAGATGATTACAATGATGATGATGATGACGATGATGACGATGATGATGATGATGATGATGATGAGGAGGAGGAGGAGGAGGAGGAGGAGGAGGAGGAGGATGGCCGAGACGATGATATTACTTACATCGTTGCGTTTCATAAGGACGTGGGCTGATTCCTATTTGACATAAAAGGATATACAGTAAACTACGGTTATAACGAACTCAAAGGGACCACTAATTTTAGTTCGTTATAACCGTAGTTCGTTATAAGCACATATACAGCATAACTACAGCAAATTGTAGGGACAAAAAAGTAAGTTCGTTATATCCGTCAGTTCGTTATAAGCGTGTTCGTTATAACCGTAGTTTACTGAATGTTCCATTTATTTTGTCTTTCTTGTCTTCATGACCCGACTCTGAAAACCATTGTGTCATTAAGCAGATTGAAAGTCGTCAGATATAAAGTGTTATTTCTACTCGCGTGTGTATCAATGTTATATTTTGTGATACAGTATTTCACTATACACATTCTAAACGGTTGTACGTACATCCGTATATTTACTTATTAAGTAAATCAGTATGATGTCAGGAAGTAGCGTCAATGTACGCAAATTTGGATGTAATTTTGTCTTTGAAAGGCGTTTAGAAGTGATACACATAAGAAAGAGAATTTATGGATGTCAACTTCTTTATTATGAGGAACACAACGTTTCGGAGTTTCCTCATAATAAAGAAATCGACATCCATAATATAAATTTTCTCCCTTGGGTGTAATTTTGATCATATAGACGCAATGCTTTTATACATACGTGATCAAAAACAACCTTAATTACCTTTAGACAAGGCAATAGGGGCGGTGGGGTAGCCTAGTGGTTAAAGCGTTCACTCGTCACGCCGAAGGCCCGGTTTGATTCCCTAACATTTAGGTACAATGTGTGAAACCCATTTCTGGTTTCCCCTGTCGTCATATTGTTGGAATATTGCTAACAGTGGTGTAAAACCACACTCACTCAGGAAATGATCTCTGAAGCGGCTGGTGTCAAATGTACATGCCCACAAAGAGTGAGTGAGTGAGTGAGTGAGTGAGTTTGGTTTAACGCCGCTTTTAGCAATATTCCAGCAATATCACGGCGGGGACACCAGAAATGGGCTTCACACATTGTACCCATGTCGGGATTCGAACCCGGGTCTTCGGCGTGACGAGCGAACGCTTTAACCACTAGGCTACCTGACCGCCCCTTGCCCACAAAGAATTATCTGTTTACAGAGTGAGTGAGTATGGTTTTACGCCGCTTTTAGCAATATACCAGCAATATCCCGGCGGGGGACACCAGAAATGGGCATCACGCATTGTACCCATGTCGGGATAACTG